TTAATCAAATACTTATACTAATTATAGCTTTATATATTTTATATGATATATTTGTATATTTATGTCTTGTATAGATGTTCTATTCATATATATTATTCGTACATTTCTTTTATCTTTACTGATATGCAGTAATTAAATCTGTAAAATTCTTAATTGTTAAAAAAACTCAATAAAGAATTATGATTAAAAAATGAACGCTATACATCGTTAAATTTAGTTAGTCTTCGTGTCTATGGATGGCACTCGGGTCAATTGTCCATTGAAATAGTCAGTTTATCGTCCGTGATTTTTCAGGTTAGGTTTGTTTTAAATTTCGATTCTTACATCGTTTTGCAATCGTTTGACAATTATGGCACGATACTCCAGTGATTCAGATTCGGATCATAGCAGCAGATACCGAAGAAAACGAAATCGAAAGTCGAGGTAAAACTCAAAAATAATACACGATTAGTAATTGTCATCCAGAAGTTAGGAATGTTATTTACACAGGTTTCAATTTGTCAAATGCATCGGTTACGTTTAGCATTTAATTATGATTAATGTTATTAGAATATTTTTGTCGTTTGTCATTTATGAAGAAGAAAATCATCATATAATTATAATTTTTACAGATCTAGCAGTTCTGACAGTAGCGAGTCTTCACCACATCGAAGAAGATCGTCGAAGCACTCAAAGACAAAGCGCAGACATCGTTCGCACTCAAGGAGCAGAGGAAGAGATCGAAACTCAAAGAGTCACAAAGGATCCAGGAGCAGTCATTCAAGAGATCGAGATAAAAAACGTTATCGTTCCAATACAGGCAGGTCATATTCTTCAGACCGTTCAAGAAGAAAAGCTAGATCCACATCCAGAGAAAAGTCACGAAGTCCATCCAGTAGCTCGCAGTCGAATCAACCAAAAGTCAATACAGAGAAGAGCCAGACCTTATCAGTAAAAGGTAGTAACATCAGTTTGTATTTCTATTTGAGTTTAATAATATATTAATAGATACAAATTGTGTTGTTTTTCAGAAGACTTTCCTGTTGAATTACGTTTCAAGGATAGTGTACTTGAGGAGATAAATGCTGAAGGTTTTACTCCCAAGCAGTTTACTTCATCTGCTAACAAAGAGAGTAAATTTAAAAATATTGTAATAGACATTAGTTCGGATACTATACAAATTCCAGTTCCTAATGTTCCAAGTGGCCCAGAGAGTATATTTCACACATCAGTAAGTTTTTTTTGCTTTTAATTTTCCTAATATATTCGCAAAAATAGATAACATCTATGCTTTCTTTTCAGATTATGATGGATCAAGAAGCAAGATTCGATAAATGGGTGAAAAAACTCTATACTCTTAGGCAAAAAGCCATAGCTGACTTAGTACATACAAATGTTATTTAATGATCTAATGTTATTAAATAATCTATGACTATACATTATTATTTTTATACTAATACACAATTATGTAGAAATATATTCTGCGTTTTCAAAAAATTGAAAATCGTTTGTATATTAATCTTTTGAAAAATTGATATAGATTGAAAATAAAGATTTTTTTTGTGAAACAAACGTCCCAATAATTGATCAAGACAGCGAAATCCTTTTACTTCAATAAAACCTTGATTCAGTAATCATTTTGTGATTACACTGACACTGACATTTATACGTATTATTTATTTTCGTGTCAGACTTTACAATTAATTCGCATACAGTTTTACAAATTTGGTTTTTAACGCTATAAAGCTAAGGAAACTTCTCAAACTCATAGAAATAGAAGTGGCTATATTTTAAGTAGGAACTTAACTACAATCACGCGAAATTTGACAAAAAATCATATAACGATATTCTATGAAAAAACTTTAAATGCACAGACAGAATTATGCATCGCGAAGTCAACAGAAACTAATTAATATTAACGAGACATTCTGCATTTCCATCCACCTGAAAATGGTTAACTAATATATCACTTATTGCCACCAGTGATTAATCTATATGTCTACTGACATTTAAAACGGCGTGTACACGCCACGTATTTTATACATTTGCGTGTTCATTTATTGGAGTTGACGAGCAGGAGCAAATGTAACTAATACAAAAATGATTATTCAGGCACTCGGTCTATTATGTGTACATATTAATACATATATATTTTCATATTTCGATTGATAAGTTTACAAAAAGAAAGTCCAAATTTTCTTTTTCACATAAATACAGAATAAGAATTTTCTATTCAGAAATATAATGCAGTATTTTTATTCATTATAACCATATCTGTTTTAATAATTCATGTATGAAAATTATCCTGCAACGATGCATTTTACCATTTTAATTTCACGATATTTATTGTGTAGACAATAATAATAGGAAACAATTCCTTTTTTTCTGATATGTCACTAAAATCTTGGATTACATCAGTTTTCATTCATAAATTATTCTTATTATAAAGTTATTGCATTAAAAAAATCTGAAGACTCATTTCATTAAATATTAATATTTATAAATATATTTGTAACAACATTTAAGATAAATACAGAATGTCCGAGTACCTGGATACATTTGAGTAACGACATATTGTATACATACTGCGCGCGCATGTTATGATAAAATTAGAAAAAGAAATTAAATACTATTTTTTTCTATAAGATAATGCACCAAAATAGACTAATATTAATTTGCACTCAGTTCTTATCTATTCCTGTTCTAATTTTCAGTTTCTTATGTATGATAAACTGACAATGAATTAGTACACAAAACGTATATTTAAAATACGCATTATTAATATTTATGAAAGCACATATAACTTTTTACGATTAGAAATGCAGAAGAGATAAACAAGTCTTATGGAATGTCCAAACACACCAAGATCTCTCCTGAACCAGCATTCTGTGTTAACTTTTTCAATCCAATGTTTTGTAAAAATATTTATATAGTCATAATAATCTTATAAACGTTTAATGTGCTTTACATTAATTGCAAAATCAATGTATTTCTTATTTCGAAACGTATCTTGAAAATTAATTCTGTAGCAATTCGTTTTGTATTTCGAGCATATTATGTTCAAGCATTTGTCCATAATATGAACAATAGATTGTTCTAATAATTTACAAATAAACATTTTCTAATATACTAATAACATATCGTAAAACTGCATTGTAAGCGCAACCACAGTGCACGGCTATTCTACTGGTTTCCGTCGATTATTAATGCACATTTGTAAATATAATCAACAAGCTGTGTATCAGAATCCATAATAATAATAAATATGTTATTACTATGGAATAACATCGCGTTTGCTACTTGTTTGAATAATATATCTCAAGAATATGGAAGAAATATTAATTTTCCTATAAGAACCAACTTGCAGACAATATACCATCTTAGTCAAGCTTCTTTCATTCTTTTTTTATAATGATTCAGTCGTTCACTCGTTTAGCCTCTCATGATATTATAAAGGACTTTTTTTATGATGCGTTAAATCGATTTCAGATCGATAATAATAAATCGAGTACTTGAATTGTATAATATTACAGTCTAAACTTAATAAAAAATGGAATAACTAATAAAAATGGAAAGACTTGTAATGAAAATCTCGACAAATATGAGAATATCTCTGAAACATAAGTTTATAGAAGAAACGGCAAGGAATTAATTGATATACAATAAATGCAAAATAACGATCTCTCTTCCTAAACTCGACAGAATATTTACCTAGGTCCATCCTGGACAGCGTATAATTTTTATACATTCATCTACTGGTGGTTTTAATATTCTAGAATAATTGAAAATTTCCTTCGCTCAATTTCTCATAGTTTCATTCGAAATCTTCTAAATTTACGATATCAACTTCCATAATGCTATTGCCGGCGAATTGTCCGAATACGCCACTCTGCGATGCGCTGCGTTTTACAACTAAAACACGAAAACACAATATGTTAATACGCAATATACACAATAATAGGTAGATCACAGAGATCTTGTTTTGTATATTTAAAATCCGACAACTCACTACTAGAAGAATTCACTTTCTGCAGCATATAAGTAGGCAAGTCTTGGCATTCACGCGCTATATACGTTCCGACGACTGACATGTCGGTGATTGGCGGTGTGATTACTTTCATAGTTTCACGTACAATTGCAGTGTCCACTTCATAGTAACCTGATGTATAAATATTACATATGTAATATATGTTTTAATAATAATAAATTACATTAATAAAAACTGATTAATTCAAATCAAACAATAAACTTACCGTTGTACATTTTTCTAAGGAGATCATACATATTACGGGGCGGTAATACGCGCTGACGATTCAATGGCATAACAAAGCAACACTGACCATCAATGTCTACGATACCTGTCTTATTCTATAAACATATAGAGAGATATTACAAAAATTATATTCCACATTATAAATCATAATGCAGAATTAGGATATTGGCTTACAATGTTAAAGTCATGTATGAAGCGACCTTGTCGTCCACCACGGAAATCAGGCACGTCGATCTTCTCATAATGCTCATTCTCAAGATCAATTTCAAATCTCTCTTTGAAGAAATTATTGATGTCGTTATCTAGATGTCTAGCAATATCCATCGCATCCTGCTCCATGGCTCTGGTGAGACTTTTGGTGAACAGATCGGAGTCAGCAAACAGCCCCTGGTGAACTGCATTATTGCCATAAGACGCTTTATTTGAGCTGTCATAGGGGATGCTGTACCAGCCCGTGCGAAATCTGCGCATTTGAGTTCTCGCATATTGTTTGTAGAGATATAGTCCAGCGATCATGCCAATGAGCAGAATCATCAATGCAAGAAGAAAGAGCATCAATGTTGCTGTCACATGTATACGGTGGACGCTTCTTCTGGTAAGCAAGTAACGTCCAGTCACATCAATCTTCGGACGCGCTGCTTCAGGATCGGCTTTCGTGCCCTCCTATTAAAGAAGAATCATTCGTATCATATTTCGCTTATCCGGCAACTCAGACATATTTTTATATTAACTTTCCAGCAAACTAATAGATCCAGCAACACAGTTTAATTTACTTTTTGATCTTTTTAGTTCTGACATCCACTTCTAATGTAGATTAAATTAATCCTCAGTTAAATTAATCTTTTTTTAATTCTTAAAACTAAAAAAGATAAAAAATAAATTAAACAAGATTAATTTACATTTGGTGGAAATAAACAAGAATCAATTTCTATTAATATAAAAATTAACTTTACTTTCAGTTTAAATTTGCTTTTATATCTTTTTTTAGTTCTAAGAATTAGACAAAAAAACAAATTAATTAAATTAAAATTAAAATTAATAAATATAGAAATGGATATAAAACTTTATATCTAAATGATAAACCGCACGATAAAAATAAACTGATGGAAATAAAATTAAGCAGAATGTGAGAGAGAAGTGTGAGAGAGAGTCGATTCTTTCATAAAAATTTCTCCTTAATATGCTTCATTTCCTCATCTGCAGTTAACGCGTCACGCGTTATCTTCATTGAGGCATGAAAAATATAGAGCGGGTGCGTCTATTACGACACAGCAGTAATACTCTCTCATGAATTTACCCGACCTGGCCTCCGTCGGCGGACACGCGTATGCACACACGCATGCACGTTGCACAGTGACATGTCAACACAGTCAAACGCAACGCGCGTCTACGAATTGACAGCGAGCAGGTGTAGATATAACGTGCATTGATATAATAAATTGACGATTCGCGGAATATATATATTCGACACTGCTATTAGGTGTGCATACCTATATATCTATATGCATATATATCTATGTGTATGTATCAAGGGTAGCGTTAAGTGACTTCGCTGCGCACGATCCCGAACTCGCGGCCAGGCAATTTTCCCGGATCGAGGGGACGGAAACGAAGAAGTCGACACGGAGAGATCTCCGCGTGAATAAAGAGAGACCAGAGGTTTATACTAACCGCCGTATTTTCCTCCACAAACAATGGCTGCTCCGTTTTGTCGGACGCCTTCTTCTCTGTGATCGCCTTCGTGATGACCGTCATTCTCGCGGCTCCTCAAACTGCGGATGCCAACTCAACGCGACGAATTCTCGTTAATGTTCGGAATCTCGTATCTCTAAGTCTATTGTTGTCCGCTGTGATAAGCACTTATCAGTCGGGTGATAAGGTTCCTTGAAACACCGAGGACGCGGAGTGGGGAACCCGAAAGCGAATCAACATACACAACCTCACGCATTAACTCCGGTGGGCCAACTGCGTATGCACGAATGGGAAACGCCGAGATTGATCGCCGACGGTTGCGCCCTCGCTGTACCGACAAGCGAGGGTCATGTATGCGCATGCGCGTCAATCGCGAAGTATCATGAAAAAAGGAGAAGACAATCGTGTGAGACGGCACTTTGTTCCAGAACAGGTGGATTTTGGAACGCACGAAATCTCAAGGAAGTTTTTGAGATTCCTGTGATTTTTGTACGAAATTCCAACAAAAAAATGTAAATGATTTTATTAATATATATTTAATTCTCGTAACTTAGAAATCTACTTGGGTTATGATATTCCAATATGGACAGTGAAAAAGATGATAAAGATGCAGAATCCGAACAATCAATTATCAAGAAAGAATCAAGTGTTAAAGCTGAAGTGAAGTCCGAGTCTAAACAATTCAATCATCATGAATTAATAAAATTAACCAAAGCGATTATAGGTAATATTGTTGAGAGCGATCCTCTGTTCTCCGGATTGCCCTTGGATGTCACGATAGAAGAACTTAAGTCACAGATTGCAGTTGCGCAAGGACAAGCCATAACTTTGTTTTTAAATCGGGGAGAACTGCCAAAGCTTGCAATAGTGGTACTACATTTGCATTCTTGATTAATTATATTTTATATCTACAATATAGTTTACATTATACTAATTTATTTTATATTTCTTTTACTTTGTTTAAGGTGCCACCATATAATACAACCGTACTTGATTTAAAAAAGGCTATCAAGCGACACATGAATCTAGCTTTAAAAAGAGAAAATGTCAAAAAGAAAATAAGTTGGAAACATATCTGGAAGAAATATCATCTTTGCTTTAAAAACATCAGACTCTTTGACAATAATGAAAACATTCAAAGCTATGGTGTTGCTAATAAGGCGGAGTTACGCTTTGCAAAAAAACGCAGAGAAAAGAACAAGTTGACAAAACGTTAACAGTATAAATCAGTTTAAAAACAAATTACTAAGATTGTGTAAATAATTAAATACTGATATAAACAAAGAGATAAATATATTTTGTTATAGTCACACAAATTATTGCTAATGTTTCTAATCTTTTGTTGGAATTAATCTTTAGTCTTCTCCTCAGGTGTAAGAATTTCACAAGACAATCCTGGCATGCAATCCTCCAACATAAAACAAGTCAGCTCAAAGGCAACGGAATTGTGATAATTCGTTGCGATCAGCTTCTTTAAATTGATCATTCTGTACAGAGATTCTAATCCTCTTTCGCTGATCTTTTCACAACCAGAGATGTCCAAGTATTCCAATTCTGGGAATTCCGCTGAGATTTTGTCTAAGCCCCAATCGTCGATATTCTTACAGCCTTTAAGGCTGAGCCACTTGAGTTTTACAAGGCCACATAAATTACTGAGACCTTCGTAATGCAAGTCGAATCCGTTCATGTCCACTGCCTCGAGGATGTAGTGCGGGTCGTAACTCTCGGGCAATTGATACAAGCCCTTCTCATCCTGTTCTGTCCACAAGGTATTGTTCTTAAATTTGACTCGGCCGCCGCGAAAAAGAATGAAGTGTGCGGTGGCCAGATCAGCGCCCAGGATCTTGTGCCTCTCCGGTATAAATGCTTGATTGGCCTTGGCGTAAATGACTTTCCGGTGCTTGTACCACTTCACAATGTTGCTGAGGGAGAAATCGGTTTCCTTACGTGCAGCCGTGGGAAACCACATGATCGTCTTGGGCTTTTCCGGATCGTCTCCGATTTGGGTTGTCACCGCATTGTGTTCGTTTTCTCTCCACTCATATTGTCGCTTCTCGTGATCCACGCCGTAACTGCGTGCCGCTGGAGTGAGCGAATTATCTGGAAAGCACGAACGCTCGCGTAGTTGTTTACCGAACGCGAACGTCAATCGCCTCGCTAACATTATTAGTTAAAAATTTAAATCGCCTCGAAGTCAGCTCTAAAAGCAATGCGAATACACTTGTGATATTCTAACCTAATTTTACTCGACTGATAAACAGCTGATTTTGGATTCGCAGTTCTATTGATTGTATGTGTGTATGTACGTGTGCGTGGGGTAGAATTTTCAACATTTGAAGTGACAAACTTTTTTACACATATCGATTACAAACTACAAAATTGCATATGTAAATTAGAATATTTAGAAATTGATTTTGATTTATCATTTAAAATAATGTAATTTTAAAAAAAATTACATTTAGTAGTTGAATATAAATAGTGCATTTTATAACTTAATATAAGCAGTTTTCCAATTAATTTTTAATTGAAAACATAATTTTTAATTAAATTTTTTTTATTCGTGCAGTTTTTATCGTAACTGAATTAATTTTAGTGACAATTTAATTTAACTCAATATTAGCCAATCATGACAATTATTAGATAACTGATGTATTGTTCATTTTTTGATAATCAAAATGCAATAAAAATAATAATGTGCTAAGTTAGTTTTTAATGCTTCTTGTATATTATAAACTATAATGACGTTTCAATCTATAACACTCTGGTACTTAACATTGATAAAATTGTTGGTAAAATTAAATAAATACGAACACAAATTGTTCGTATACATATAAATTAAAAGAATTAAATTAAAGATAATAAATTCTCAGATCAGTTTTGAGATGCACATTTTGGAAAAAAGTGTGCATTACTAATTATCAAAATTAATATTGGATACGGAACAAGACAACAATTTTATATGAGGAAGAGAAATATACATATATCTCGTATGAATGTTACTTTACAAATAAATTTTTTTTATAATTTTTTTCGCATACAAACATATGTTCCTATTTTGTACATAAAATTTTCGAGACTTCGGGATTGTCTTAATCTTAACTACAGTCATTACGTGTATTTATTACATCATTAGGGAAAACTCTATAAAGCAGGAGATTGCACTTTTGTATAGTAATGCTAGAATCAACATTACTAAAAATATCAATCATTTCAGATTATTTGTACATCATAACATCCGGAGATTGATACATGCACATGTATGCGTCGCAAAGTAGGCGTTTTGCATGTTCCGGTAAATGACGATCGTCTGTCAATTCGGTCAGATAATTTCCTCCTTCTTCGCTTAACCAGTAAGGAAAATCTGGACACGGTACCATTTCCGGTATATTATACCCATTTTGCTCTCCTAATAATAAAAGAATTTATTCAATAGAATTCAATTTCAGATATAACTATATTAATAAGATGATATTTAAAAGAATTTCGAATAATAAAATAGTAATTAATTAGCAATGCTAATCTAAAGAAATCGATAAAAGATATAGAAAAAAATTAATTTTCTTAACATTTATATAAAAATGAGTGAGAAGCACCTTTTCTATCAGCCATCGAATCGAAAAAGCACCATGGTGCCTCCGAGCCAGGACCGCATTTTACGAATGAAACGTAATGCGAGGTCTCGATGCAGACAACCGCGGACAGCTCCAGATACAAACGCGGTACAGGACAATGCTCTTGTAGAATTGTGAACTCATTAGGTACATTCAGTTTCTTCGGTTCGTGATTTGTTCTTCGTTCGTGACGATGTACCTAAAGAAAATATGTGAAATAATTTATTTATGTATGCCTCTTTACGTTCATACATGTATCTTACGAGACTTTACGAACTTTTTCGAGACATTGTAAACAGAAAGCTATACTTTCGAGACCGACGCCGCATTGCCCGTAACACTCTTTGCATTCGAATTCCGCCAATTTGCCGCATACTGTACATTGTCGAGGTGCTACAAAATGTCAATATGTTAATGTCGCAATGTACATAAATTTCAGATAAGAATAATTATTGCACTCGAGATATAAAATAATGATACTCAACAATCTTCAATAATGTCCGTCACATCGAGAAGTAATGTAGGTTGTATCTTCTGATACATCTTAAACGATTTTCCAAAGCGTGGCATTTGTATGATAAGACAAGAAGGAACTTCCTTCAATCTAATGTTACTAGTCAGGAAACTCTGTTCCAATAATTGCTGCACAGTCGGCAAATTTAGATGATCATCTTTCTCAACAAACAATTGATAATGATATGCGTCCTGCCCGGAACTTAATTTGAGGAATGGTTCGGCATTTAAAATCTGGGCGACTAGCGAAGTTAAAAATTCTTCTGGATCTAAATATTAGAAATATATGAAACAAGTCATTAGTATAGTGATTAGAAATAAAATCCACATTATTTCGAAGTATAAAAATAAACCTTTTTCTTCACTAGTGAGACCGGATACTGATGATAGTTTTTCAAGCAACGTTCTAAGCTTCATTACACGATCCGCTCTGACAAACATGTTTTTCCTAAGCGGGTTTACAATTTCCTCTCTCAGGACTCTCTGCACTTCTTCGTACTGTGGACAATCTTTTTCATTCGGCGGGCTAAAAAAGAATGTATAAATTTTAAGAATGTATAAATTTTTAGAAAAACGCTATAATGTTTGTGTGTTAAAAAATCCACTTTTATTTTTAAGAGAAATTTAGAGAAATTTTATTTTTTAATCAGCAAATATATTCGACAAGCAAAATTAATTACCGAAACAAAAGATTATCAAACACGCTAGTAAATGTAAACATGCTGAAAAGAGTGGCATCCAAATAGCACGAATTGTGATGACCTTGAATACCACGATATTTTCCGCATATACTTTCTAAGTCTCCCTTGACAGAAATGGGTCGTACAATACCCGTGATTACGGAACTCTCCATGTTACCGAAATTATCGTTATTTACAAGTGCAGATCGTTCATCCAGCTTCGTCTGTTTATGAAAGGTATTTTCAGAAAAATAACAGATATAACACATGAATATTAAGAAGGTAACAAATAACTTTATTCATACTTACGTTTTCATAATGAGAACAGTGTTCGATATCTGTGAATACAGCTCTGTAAGGCCTACAATGGAAATACCTGATATCTTTGTAAGTTCCATCAGTACCTAAAGGATGTCCATTATCCTATAAATAATACAAAATTTGAATTTGTTCCATCATTCTTTTTATAATAATCTATTCGATCGATCTATTTCACTCACCAGTTCGACAGCGGCCATCAATTTACCAGGACTTGTACCAGGCGGTGTGCCAATCCATCGAATAACTCCATAATGAATATCAGAATCCAGAAGTACCTTCACATTAGAGCCCACCATTAAATCTCCTCTATTCTCTATTCTGTTAAATTTTTTGATCTCGTTCTTCTCTCCATTACCTGTCACAATTAATAACAATTTGTTATAATCGCTTATAATTCACATTTCTATATAAAAATTTAAACACAATATAAAAAGGCAAAAAAGTATCATTCCTTTTCTCATGTAAAAGTGTAACAATTATTATGGAAGAAAAATTTTTAGTTAAAAGTGCAATAGAGACAAGATGTCAATTATATCTTACTGTAATTCAACAAACTTATGCTACGCGCATCTTCCACGTCACTGTATACATTTGATTCTATGTCACTACTCCACTTGTGTTCCAATACAAAAATAGGAATGTTCTGCAGTTCTGCTGCCATTTTTAAACAAAATTACAATAATCGTGGAATACTTTATAACCTGGCATCAGCCCTCTAGGAAGTCGGGCTAGGTTGGACATCTATTTTTAAATACCTGAGCTATTATTAACTTCCCTCTCTATCGCACGGAAGAAATTGAAGTTCAGTACTGTGGCTAATTCTGTTTTAGAATTCTATGGAGAAATATCGACGGAATAAGGATATATTTATTATTTTTGTGTAATTACCACATTTAAAAAGATCGTGATCAACACTTTTAGTATAGTTATTAATATCATTTTCAAGTTCTGCCTTTCCAGTTTGATGACGTTCTTTTATGTTGACAGATTCATGATTGTTGTTTTTGTTGTCATCAAATAAGGTAAATTGTTCTAATAAAACAGCCGGTGTAGTGTCCAGTACAGATCTTTTCTTCTCATTGACATGGTCTGTTCCTACGTTATTTTTCAACAACAATGCTGAAATATAAAAATGTGCAAATTGAACAATTCGAAAACTAAATGAAACATTGTTTCGTAAATGTAAATACTTTTTTCAAGGCTGCCAGAGATCGCATCTTCTTTAGAGATTGCAGTTTCTTTATATGGATATATATTGTTTACAGCAGCGAATACTGTAGCAGCATTCCAACGCGAGCAAATAAAATATTCTTTGGCCAATAAAGATGTTTTGAATAGTTCTTGACTTTCCTGTAATTATTTTTAATGTCATTAAATTCTATGTTATGCATACATATTTACTTAATACATTATTAATACATTATTAATTGTATTGTAATTTTTATTCTAAAAGTCATATGCTTCCTCTTTATCAGCACAAATTCTATTCTCTTCAATTTTGTAATCCGTTTTGATATAAAAGATATATATATATATATATATATATATATATAATTTTATACATATCTATTGCACGTTTTTCTTTACTTTTAATAAAACTCACTATATAAATCATCAAAACTCATTTGAATCTAATTGAGAAGCAAAACTATGTCATCAGTTTATTTCTTTTAAATATAAATTAAATTTAATAAAATTTTTTTCATGACTTCCAATATCTAGTTACAAGGAAGCGCTGTATAACTTTGAATATTCTCTACATTCTATGTTCAAATTATATAACATCAAAAATCTTTGACAAAAGCAGTGGCAAGTGAAAACAACTTTAGTCAATTCACCACTAATTCAAGGCCAAAGTAATGTCCTAATCCAAGTTGCGCTACAGATCCTATATATCTGACAAACGCCAACTCCCTGACACGTTTGTTGGATGGATCATTGCAATACCAAACTATGTCATTAACAGATATATTTCTTATCTGCTCGCAGAGAGCTTCGTCGTTTGCCAATCGTACTCTTTCCTGGGGTGACTGGACGGCGAGCAAGTACTGCCAGATCTTCTGCGATACAGGGATCAAATCGTACTTGTGGCAACGCCATTCCGTGCCATACCAGGTTTTACATCCGCCAATGGTGTCGGTCACCCGTACCCTCAACACGCTCTCCTTCAAATCCTCTAGTGCTTCTACAAGCATTCCCAGACGCAACTTGTTAACGTTTACGTCACACGCACCGAATATCCGTATCAGTACCGTGTCTTGCTTGGCAACATAGTGCTGCAGGACCCGACGTTCCTTGTTAGCGTCCTCCATAATCCCGATTATTAAATGATCATCGCCACAAGGGAACGTCGAGCTCACTCGTTAACGTTTGACTCGCCTGTCAACCTTGACGTTCATTTCACGACTCGTTCCTTATTTTATTCGAGGATTACATATTACTCGGTCAATGGTAATTTCTCTTTTTTAGCTCCCTTCAAATTCTTCGAGTTTCCCTTTTCTTAGATTACATGTTTCTATCGGAATATCGCCGATAGAATTTAACTTAACGCTTCACTTATACGGTGTGGAGGTAAAGTTGACATAAATCGCAGAAGCAGACGCGACGCTGTCAAACCGGCTAGAGAATTTCTCTTTCGCCGTCCGATAGAATGGATTGGCTCTCCCGCATTTCCCAAGCTTGAAAAAATTCCCCAGAAGTTTGAGTTGGAGCCTAAAGACTTTCAAAAGTAGAAATGCAATGTTTTTCATTGGAAATTAATTAATTAGATAACAATAAAAATAATTAATAATAATTAATTAAATAATAATTATTAGTATTAATGATTAAATAAGTTAATAAAATTGCCAACCTGCGCCTTATGGCTCCTGCACATAGGGCACGACGCAATTGCGATGACCGATTATTACATGTCGTCATGTTTTTGGCTCTCACGAGTTCAAACAGTTCGTGATTCGCGGTTTTTGCCGCGTGGTTTATAATATTTCCGGCATCACGTCACGATAATCGTCAGGGATTTGTCTTTTTATAACTGAACTTGTTATGTATACCGGTTCCCTCTTTTTCTACTCAATGTCTGATTGTATACTGAGTTTATTTTAAGTGTAAAAAGTTTAACCTAACATAATTACGTAGAGCCGGGCTTAGGTTATGGGTGATAGCGGTCACGCGGAAATGCCGTCCGCCGACTCGGCGCGATTGGCAGCCGATTCCGGCTTCAGCGAGCTGCTGAGATCGGCAGAGCAACTATCTGCAGCCGTTGAGGGAAATGAAGATTTACCACAGGTCGAGAGGAATCTACGACAGATATTGGAGGCGTCCAACGAATTGTGGTCTCGTGTTACTCAGACTAGCACCCAGGACAACGAAGCGCAAGCGTAGGTTTATCCTAGCAATTTATTATCTTGTAGAGTTTTCAGCAATTTGAAATTGTTTTATGCTCCAGTATTTTCACTATGTATAATCTCTGTGTATTTGTTTCAGACATGTTCTACTAGGCTCCCGAGGAGTAGATCTATCTCAAATCTCACAGAAATTAAACTCGCTTAGCGCGAGACGTACGTTTGAACCTTTGGATCCTATTGCAGACACTGATATTGTCAGTTATCTTAGGAATGAAAAAGAGAATGCAATCCTTTCTATCATTGAACAAGTTCACAAAGATGTAAGATAATCATGAATATATCCTGAATATATTTTCTTGTATTTGTTAATATACTATAATAAGGGATCTGGATTTATTTTTTAGACATTTGAACTTACTAGAGCTCAACAAATAGAACATATGCTTGGCGAATGGAAACAAATGCGCTTTGAAATAATAAATGCAATGACTGCACCATCCGGCGAGTTGGTAGATTTACGTGGAGCCCCACAACGTACAAAACTAGCTGGCTCAATGGTCAGCGGTCTTTCTAGTGTAGAAGTTGCTTATGTGAAAGAATTGCAGACTTACAATGATCATGTGCTTAGAGGTGTAACACGGCCTAGTCTTTTTAATGCGTTTTGCAAAGCTTCAGAGTCCTTCAACGATAAGAAGATCACGGATCTATGGCAAATGGTGAAATGTATGGTCGATATTCCACCGACTCCTAGAGGAGATCAAATTAAATCAAGAAGCAGTTCTGCAATTGAACAGAGAATTGTCTCACAAGCCAAAAAATATCTGGAAAATCGATATAGAGATTTCATGAACTCCATAATCAATGAGAATCTGACACAAGCAAAGCGAGGTGGTCTTCCAGGCACTATATCCCTCGTTAAAAGTTTCGTTGGTGTCAAGGCACAAAATCTCAGAGATTTGGAGGACGCTGTGGTGGAAGATAAGCCATTGTGGCCTCTAGTGTATTACTGCATGCGATCTGGAGATTATAAAGCCGCGCTGCAATGCCTGAATCAATGTAGTACAGAATTTCCGGAGTTTAAAGCAGCTCTCGAAGAAGCTTGCGACGATCAACAACACCATCCAAGCAGTCGCGCTGAGTCTATCCTAAAATTGCATTATAGGAAGCAAGTGCGATCCGTCACTGATCCATATAAGAGAGCAGCATATTGCGCATTAGTCCCTTGCGAGCCGGATGATTTGCATTCTGAAGTGATATCCACAGCTGACGATTACTTGTGGCTAAAATTGTGCCAAGTGAGAGATCCGGCAGACGTTGAGAATAAACTGACATTGGATTATCTACAAATTACAATTTCAGAAATATATGGTAATACTCCTTTTTTATCAAATGGTCGATATTTGTCGGAGATTCAGAAATTTTAAACAATTGCAATTTTCAGGAGAAACTTATTATCATGCGCACGAACAGCCATTTTTGTATTTTTCGATGCTGTTTTTGACTGGACAATTCGAAGCAGCCATTGAATTCTTAGCTACAGGCGCTGGAGCAAGGCATTTACCACATGCTGTTCATTTAGCAGCTGCCATGCACGAACACAATTTATTGGCTGTGAGTCAAAGTGTTTTAGCGCCTTTGATAAGTGTAGATCCTGCTGATAAGCCACCAGCAAAAAGATTGAATTTCGCTAGATTGATACTGTTATATGTTAAAAGATTCGAATTATCAGATCCGAAAGAAAGCCTTCATTATCTATTTTTATTGAGGTAGGAACTTTAATTCATTTTATCGATTGAAATTTTTTAGATTAAATTATAAGCATGATGTACTTTTATATTTTGCTTTTAGATGTATGAAGGACCCGTATGATCGTAACATGTTTGCCGCATCTGCCGCAGAAATGGTAGTGGATGCTTCCCCTGCAAATCGTGTTCTGCTGGTCGGAAAGCTTGATAAAGATCGCAGACTCCCGGGTATCTTAGATCAATTCCAGATCAATACGGACGACGTAATAAATATATGTGCTGAAACGTTATACAGAAAAGGTCTGCTGGAAGATGCAGTAATGATGTACGATCTAGCTAGAAATCACGAGAAGGTTCTCAGTTTGATGTGTACGCTTTTGACACAAGTAGTTAGTCAAAGAGGACCGCCTGGCTCACTCAGAGCACGATTACAAGCTACAGCTATGAATATCAGTGCGAGGTAAAATTTATTTAATTATAATTATCACGCAAATATATTCATATTCAATTTCTTGTAAATTTCTTATAAATATTGCATTTTTTTTTTTTTTTTAGATACAAAGACATCGCAATTCAAGCGCCTTCAGAAGTAGTGTCTTCATTTTACACTTTAAGGGATCTTATGGTTTTCTTCGATCAATTTTACAATGAGCAATATCAGAGCGCACTCAGGGTAAATAAATTTTTAATAAAGTAAATGAATGTAATATAGTGTGTTTTGATTAATTTAAGAGAGAAAGCTAATTAATATTTTCTTTGTCAGACAATTGCGGATTCAAAGATGCTGCCTCTTCAAGTAAGAGAAGTCGATGAAAGAGTGAACGCCTTACGTCGAGTGTCACCCGAAGTAGCTGGTACATTGGCTGACGTCCTCTTGGCCACTATGACAATACTGTATCGTCAATATCAGAAATTGCGATCGGTAGAACCAGGCGATAAAATCGCAAGGGAGCAACAACTACGCGATCTTCGAGAGCAAGCCCGAGCGTTAACGAGTTTTGCAGGAACCTTGCCGTATCGCATGCCAAATGAAACAAACAGCAAACTTGTACAAATGGAAATTCTTATGCATTAGAATTGAATGCAAAATTTGTTAACTTGAATTATTTAAATATAGCCCATGTATTTACACTTTAGATAATTTTATTTAAAGAATTGATTTTTGGATATTTCGACGACAATTTTATTTCTTACTTAAAATAGAATGAGATTACATGAATTCCATCATAGTATTATAACAGCAGCAAGTTCTCAAATTTAACATTTCAAATTGGATCCAAATATTATATGGGTATTACAAGAAACTGTACAATGCGAAAAAAGATTCGATAATATTCAAATTATTTTTGTATTTCTTGTAAACATACGCAATAAAATGAATATAGATTTTTGTGAATACACAATCCATCAATATAATAAATATTGAACACAATGATTAATATTTCCAGTTTATATCACATTTTATGCCGCGTATTTATTCATATATTCCATCTTATACTCTAGTCTTTATCTATAAAACTACCTCAATAATAAAATTATAGATATTATCTTGGTGGATTTTTGCTGTTCTCTACATTGCAGGATTTCAAAGATGTTACAGATATCCCACAACTAAGATCTGCAACCTTACCTTCTTTCACCTGCGAAGAACTCTTCATCATGTGCATATAGATTATATAAAAAAAATTTTTGAAATGATATACATACCGCTCTGTAATCGAGGAACATTTCTTTAAAAGCCAAGAAATCTGTTATTGTTGACAGTATCTCGAAAACTTCACCTTCCAACTCTGTCTGTTTCTCACTAAATTTTATGTGTTGTGCAGACATGCAAGAATGAGATTCTCATTAATTGAAAATTTTTTTAGAAAATTGTCATTGATTGTATAATTTAATTATAATCACTTTAATTGATGTAAAAGAGTGTCTACTGTGAATTGTGGCATGACTTTCTTCAGATAGTCCACAATGTATGCTTCTACAGCTTTATTCTGAAATATATAAGGTATGTCTCAAAAAATTGCAGTGATTCAAAGAATTTTAAAATCTTCAACATGATACTCACATATTCATTAAATATATCAGTATATATTAATTTGTTGTCTTCAATCGGCTCGAAAATATTCCAGTACTTCTCTAAAAATTCATGTTGAAGGGCCTGGAAGTTTTCCTCTGAAAGATCGAATCATAAATATTCATTTCTGCCAATGCAGATTAACTTGAATTTTGATTTAACTTTTATCTCTTTTAATTCTAATGTTTATTTTTACTAACATGGACTAACTTCACTTTCTATTTAATTTACTCTTTTTTCTATTTCTTAAAATTAAGAAAAAAATAAGTTAAACCAAGATTAAAATTAATAAATATTGATAGAAAAAATCATAAATCACATGATGCAATTCTGTCTATCAAAGATTGCTCTCTTCTCTCATTTTTTTATAATAATTTTGTACCTAACAGCAAATCCTCGATATGTCCAATTATTTCATCGAACGAACGGTCTTCCTCACTCCTTAAGATTCGCTTCTCATCTTCCGGACTAGACAAATCCAGCTCGTCTGTTAGAAACATTCATTTCAGCATATTTAATAATAAATAATCAGTATCTGAAATTTGTTACTGAACGACAAACGTTAGCTTCATTAAACAATTTAAACAAACCCATGCTTTTTTCTTTTTAATTAATTAAAAATAAGGCACTCTCTTATATTACAAATATAATCGTCTCGTAAGTTTCTTGTCGAATTGTAGGGATTAGATTAATAGGTGCTGGAGACGGCAA